TAGGCAAGCAGGTATCTCTCTGTTCACAAACAAACAAAAAAAAGCGATTGACAGCTACTCCATTTACCCCAAGTCGTAAAATGCTTAAACTGTTCACTTAACTAGAATTTAATTATAATTCATATACCACTAATATTTCCTCTGCTTTATGGAACCTTGTACAATTGATTATTTTGTAAGCTATGACTGTATTGCTTCCACTGTTAGGACCTGCGTGTCCACTCTAAATGTTGCACTTTACTGCATCTCACATAATGTTATTTACCTTACTCAATAAACAGACTGGAAACTACAAAAATAGAAAGGAGAGATTAACAGAAAATCCTAACCTTCTTAGCTGTTAAAGTAACAGAATATTCTGTCTGGGGGGCTCTGGGAAGGAAAGATGTCGGCTTACTGAAAATTGGATTGGAACTCGTAGTAGGCACAGTAGCTTGTTAGTATTCATTGATTTGATACACGTTTTCTTCATCTCCTATTTCCAAGCAGGCCCTGAAAGCTATATTGGGCAAGCTGAAGGCGAAATCATAGGAACTCTAAGATGCTTCCACCTTGTGTTCGATTAAGACACGGATCTGTATGAAGGAGCTTATATAAAAACATGTTGATCTATTTCTGTGTATATGTACTCTATTGCTAACAAAAAGACAAGTTTTATCATTTTATTTGAAATACTTTCTTATGGGATGACACAATAGCCACTAAGTATTTTAGACGGGTAATTTAAAACAATAGACATATTTTGTTTACACGTTGTATGTTATGTTATTATATATTGTTTGTACCTTGTATTATAACAGTCATTATGTTTGTTTACTTGTATTACAGCTGTTATTATGCTTTTATACGCTAATCACAGTATAATTGCATTTTGTTTGGTGGTTCATTCAAGTTTTGCAACTGAACTAGGATTTTTTGCCTAATGTAGATTTGTCTTCTCTCTTTCCTTTAAGATTTTGTTTCCTGGCATTATCAATAAGAAGTAAAAGCTATTGTAATTTGTTTCTGCTGTCGTGTGCCTTACATCCGGTGAATTAAGAGGTTGCAGAAAATTCTGATCTGCTGATACTAACTATCCAAAGAAAGTCTTGTGATACAGTTTTACAAATACATGAATAACACTCTGATAGCGGATCTGTCACCGTGACAATAGATTAAAGCTATCTATGGGCTCTGCTTTAATTTTACTAAGAATCTCAGTAATTTTACATTTCTCAGTTATGGCTTTAAATAGCATGCTAAGCATACTATGCAAATATAATCTACTTGTATAGACACGTGTGTATGGCGCTATTATATTATAAAATAGGTGACTGGATTGAAATAAAATCCTCTTCGCATATTTACTAAATGCGATTTATTTGAAACTCGTTAATGCCCCTGAATATTCACATTTGCATTGGAGTAATTCAGTATTGTAAGGGTACAATTTAATGTAGCACTGTCACCATCTAGGCTGCTGATTGGCTAAGCTAGTTTGCGGAGCAGACACAGGTCAAGGCTGATAATATAATATGTAAAATAATATAAAATTGAATATCCTTTTATATGTGATTTTGAATTATTTCTTTTTTACATATTCTTTTAATGCATTATCTATACAAAATACAAGATGGCTATGGGTCAGTTCCTGCCTTGTGTTCCTTTAACTGGTTCAGTTTCTTGCTCAGTAGATTTACCATCAGCACCGACATGAAATGACTGCAAAACTAGTGAAGACTGGCTTACTTTGACGTGAACATATATATATATAATGAATGATAATAAACCTTACTTGCAAAGCATATGAATTAAATACGGGGCCATTCAATAACAGTGTTAATAACACAATGTATACAATATAATGAAGAGCTCATACAGTTAGCTGCTCAAACATGCCCTTTTCTCTGCTTTGTTGAGTCCCCTTTTAAATGGTACTCTAGCCATTTAGAGGGGGGTCCTTTCCCGTGTAAAGTGCTGTATTTGACACTATGGAGAAGCATAGAGAAGCCTGTGATTTGACCATTTTGATGGCTCGGAGCATATGCTCGCACTCCAGGCAGGCGAGTGGAGGGAAAGGAGGCTGGATTTTGGTTTCTTTTTACAAAAAAAACAATGTGCAATGGAGGGTGGCAAGAGGTAGCACCATGTGGGTGGCATAGGTAGAAATCTTTCCCTTGCAGGGACAGTGCAGTGCGTGCTGACGAAAGATGTAAAATATGCACAGAATTGACATCAGGCATCCAGGAACAGCGTTCTGGGTTGCCAATATCACAGGTGCTGGCCCCGTTACACAATTTAACAGATCTGAAGCTGAAACACTGCACATAATGACTCCTACCACCATGACCACTTCAAATCACTGAATAGGCTACTAGGAATTAATGGCATGAATTTCATCCTTTTACATAAAGTTGGAGAAACCCTTTAGGATAAAGGAACTATACCTGGCTTGCATGTGTGATCATGGCCAAATATGAGTGGCTGTAACGGCTACCCTGGTATGGTGAGGGTATCAGCCGTTGGGGACATATTTTTCTTCCTGGAAAGTTGCTGTGTAGTGATGGAGTCGCCTATTCCCTTCTGCTGGATCAGGAGTAGAAGTCAAGTGCAGCTCTAAAAAGAGCTGAGTGATTATGCTGCATAGATTCCCCTTTCAAGAACGAGACGAGGCTACGTTTTGAAGGGTCAAGAAGAACTGAGGGTTTATTGACAGACACTCTCTTTTATGTGATTCTGCCCATGCAAGGGAGACACCCACATAATTACCAGTATAACCAATCAAGACAATAAACATTCTGTACATCCCCTCCCCTTAGATAACTAAATAACATAATTAAAAAGGAACATATTTTCCCCAAAGTTTGGATGTACCCCAAATACTTGGTATCCCCAGATAGCTTGTTTCTAGGGGACTAACATATTTAAAAATCAGCCCATTCGGTTCAGCCGTTCGGGAGATATGGGACTTAGAAGTTTTGATCGACTGCACGGGCAAAGTAGCCGAAAACAGTTCCATGAATGCTGGCCCTGCAGTCGGTCTTAAATCGTGTGTAAAAGCTCCTGAACGGCCGGCCATCCGCATGCCATCTTGGGTTCGCTGAAATCCCCATCCGTTGCTGAGTCTTTCTACCAAATGCCTGGTCGTTCAGTCATTTTGGCAAGGTTCTCCCGAAGGTATGGAGGTCTCAGCGGTGTTCGCCTATTTGAGTGTCCGATTTTAGTTCCAGACACTCGACGGCAAACACCGCTGTTCGGGAGTTAAAATGGCCACGAAAACGTGGAAGTCCCGAAATGGCGGCTGGGCTTACAGCTCTCATAGCGTTCGTGCGGTTTTTCAACGAAAATGCCCATCAAGCAGGGAGGTAAATTATTCTCAATTTAGAGTCAGGGTGGCCTGTTAGTGGTTAGCAAGCATTTGCATGGAGAATGCTTGCAAAGTCCCGAACTGCATTTTAATCCATAAGTCTTTTCCAGGCAAACTGTTCTTTTTGTTACAGTGGCATTTTATGTTCAGTAGCATCCTTGCACCAACAGCTTGTTTATGCCGGACACCTGAAACCCTTGTCCTTAATTGACATGAACACTGTGTACTTACCATGCTGGGTTTAAAGGAATACAAACATGTATTCCTGACAGTACAGAGTTAAGACTACCATCTAGCCCCCCCGGACTAACCTTGCCCAACTAAATATAGAAAAATCTTACTTTTATTCCAGTCTGCTGCTGCTGACTCTGCCACTGATCTGCCTGCTTGGCTGACATCATCAGAAGTGTTGAACAAAAGCCAATCACAATTTTTTCCCAAAGGATTGTCTGAGACTATCAAGCACAAGCCAAACACAGCTCTGGTCAATCAGCATCTCCTCAAAGAGATACATTGATCAAGACATCCATATGAGGAGAGTTCAGTGTCTGCATGCAGAGGGTGGAGACACTGAATGACAGTGATGCTTACTCTGCAGCACTGCCCCAGGAAGCACCTCTAGTAGCCATTTGAGGAGTGGCCAGTGGAGGTATCCCTAGGCTGTAATGTAAACACTGCATTTTCTCTGAAAAGATGGTGTATACTGTAAAAAGCCTGAAGGTAATGATTCTACTCACCAGAGCAAATACAATAAGTTGTTCTGGGGACTATAGTGTCCCTTTAAAATCTGAGAGTAACTTCTTTTCATGGTCACATGACGCACATGGCCTTAGCCTTCATAACATCTAGCCCTCTTCTTGCTAATTACCGGGTCGTGGTTCTGACCTATATAGAGTTCCTGTTACCTATTCTCCTGACCAGACTTTGCTTACTGACCATCCCTGATTGCTGTCTATGCTGACCTTGGCTAGTCTGGCTGCTGTCCTCGGCTTATGCTGGCTGGTGTATCTCTGCTTTTGATAGTTAGCTCACACCTGGCAGTGGCTCTCCTTCATGTAAAGCCCAGCCACACTGAGGTCTGGTGATATTTCTTTCTATCCCTTTGTCTATATTTGCTGTAAGTTGGCTGCTGATAGTCTGACAAAATGAAAACTTGTTTTACATGAGACTCTAAACTTATCCCGTTTTCTACCAGCTTGACATGATCCTTGCCATAACTAGAGGTTGGAACTTACAGCTGTGTTTAACGTAATCAATTCATGTTCCTCAATTTGCTTTGCACTAGTGCTAAGGAGGTTCGAGAAAATTAACACAAGGGCTCACATTGGAAGAGAAGACACAAGGAGGGGGTGAGACTCTTTGCAACTGTTGCTGCTATAGAAAAGGTTCCGTTGGTGAAATGACAATACGATCAAGATGTGTGGAGTGCGTTTCTAGGTGCCAAACAATATTTTAGTATCTAGAGTATCCATCTCAGTATCTTGTCACAGTTTGAAATATACAAAGTGATTAACGATAAGTAGTAATTTACCCGTGAAGTTTTTGGATTTATTTAATGAGTCAGAAACCAGATTTCATGTGGCCTCCAGGTACCCTTCTAAATATCCAATAGCTGAATGGGACTCTGATACAGTGTCAACATTGTAATGTGTATCTTCCAGGCTCACATGCCGAGAGGCTCAGCCTTACTAAAACAATGATGTCAGACTGAAGAACCCGAACATCTGATGGACAGGATTAAAGGTGCGTAAACTATTGTGCTGGACTCATGTTTCCATCAAATGTAGCTATACAATGTTGTGGGTTGCTACCACCTCTGCTGGAGGGCTGTTCTTGCATTTTGCAGGATTGCTCACAGCTCCATCTCAATGAGTTTTAAGATATATGTATCGCTGCATGCAAAAGAACCTGAAACAAAACAGAAACAGATGCGTGATATAATGATAAAACAACTATATTCAACCATTTCATAAAATTATATTCAAATTCTTAAAGAGTTACGCAAATAACTACAGTTATGTAGTCATAACTACAACTATCAGTAGTCGTTATGGTGCCAGCAATACCCTGGCTTGGTTCCCCTGTAATGGAGCAAACCATTTAGCAACACTTTGCCCTCTTACCTGGGTCTTTGCTTTGTTTCGAGTCTCCCTGTAGTGACGCAATGATTGAGAGCAACAGCTGACTAGATTCTTGGCTGATATGAGTAGTTACACTTGCACTTAAAGCAGCCAAGGGGTTAAACTCCATATGTGCAGCGTTTCACAGCCAGACATTGCACATACAGACTCCAGGCATTATGACCACTTCCAATCACTGAAGTGGTCATGGTGCATTAATTAACCCTTTAAGGACCAATAACAGTTTAGTTAATTTCTTTATAGAATTGTCAATATTGCCTTATGGACCAGATTGTGATTTCAAGAAATAAAGCGAAGGATGGTTAAAGGGTTAAAACCAACTAATCGCTTGCTCTGTTTGTGTATTAACCCTTTTAATGTTCCTTCTTAGGGAATCCTTTGCACTAGCATGTGGTTAATATTGTATTTTGGAATTTGAAAGAAATATTGAGATAAAAGAAATGAGAGGACATCTATATCATTAACAGTTTGAATTGATGGGAATTCAAAGTGAATTCACTGTCATTTTTTTACAGAATGCGCTACTAAGAATTAAGTAGTAAGTAGTAAAAAAAAATCTGCACCAAATACTAAAATATGTGTTTAAAATAAACAAGTAAATGCATAAAATTCAAATCTAACAAGTTTAATAAAAAGTGCACTATATGTCCCAAAGAGAAAGGTCTTTTTAGTAGCAAAGTAAAACCTGCTAGAGATAGTGTCTTTTGGAGGTCAATCTGTTATCCTCCTTAAAGGACCACTATAGTGCCAGGAAAACATACTCGTTTTCCTGGCACTATAGTGCCCTGAGGGTGGTCCTTTAATGGGTAAACGATCAGGTGTAAGATGAGAGGGCAATCAGTTCTGGCTCTGTTATTGATGTCTCATATGAAATGAAAAAATAGAAAAGAACAACAATAGTGTAACTCAGTATATTCAAAGATCTACTTTCTATAAAGATAAAAATACACTCAGGAAGGGAGAGCCTCCAGTCAGCTCTTAGATGGCGCTTAGAGCGGTATAATCCCCGCTCACGGATATGTTTTAAGGCATCCTGTTTGAGTACTCACAGTGCCACCGGCATATGAAACGACTAAAACAAATATAGTGCTCTCTGCTTAAAATGGTAACAATTGTAAATTCACAATGAACTCTATTTACATTTCTAAGATTGTTACATGATTTTGCTATTCCATGACGAAAAGTCATGATTTTATGAAAGACACGGAGGTGAGTATTGCTTAACCCTTTCTTTACTGTCCACTGATAGCAGCAAAGAATACAACAGAACACATGGGAACACCATACCAAGTCCCAGTATAATAGTCAGCACATCCCCACACATTTCCTCTTTCTTTGGAGATGCGACACAATAACCACAAAACAGGAACAATGAAACAGTCCAAACCAAATAGAACAAGCAACCCGAAATCCAGCCGGACTCCGATCAGGAACCATAACGAAACTGGGACCGATCCATCAGTTAACAGGATTCCACCAGTGAGGGGCCCATAAACTTCCAGGCCACTTGGTGAAGCCGAGAGAGAAGTGATGAAGACCCTTGATCAACATCGAATCAACCTGTGAAAACACAAAAGACAGGAGCCGAACAGTTAAATCAGTACTTGAACCAAAGTGCGCATGCCAAGACATCATTTTATAACGAGACAGAAGCAACACAGTGTGCATAATTCAACAAAGGCATATCAGATAATCATGTAACATGAACAGGTAATAAACGGCTGAAACTATACAAAACCCAGAGCGCATAATGAATACCTACCAACCCTGGAAAACCTTTAGGAGAGAATAAACAACCGGGTGGGGTAAATCAATTAAATAACATAGAAGGGTGGGACAATACTCGCCTCCATGTTTTTCATAAAATCATGACTTTTCATCATGAAATAGCAAAATCATGTAATTTTATGTCAAGACACGGAGGCTCATATTGCAAGTTTAAAGCTGATCAATAACCGGAGAAAAAATTTGAGGCAGAGGTCGAAAGTAAAACTCACGAAAAGTGGATGTGCGGGACCAGTCGGCCAGCCTCATCAGGTCTTCCAGACGTGCACCTGAAGCCAATGCCCCTTGGGCTGAGTGGGCACCAAAGATGGACATATCCATGCCGGCCAGAGACATCACCCATTTTACCCAGCGAGCCAATGTAGTACTGGACACCGGGGAAAAGGGGTGACGAAGTGAGAGAAAGAGCTGGGGAGACGACATTGCACGATGTGCGCTTGTCCGAAGTTCATATTCCCGTAAGCAGGCCACCGGACATAGGGCAGGAGTACCAGGGAAGCTTGGATAAGAAACCAATCGAATAGCGGTCTTGGTGCGTCTGGAGATGTTAAAAGTCACCCCGTCCGGAGTAAAAGACCTAGCATCATAGTCCACGGCACGAACGTCCGATACACGTTTGCATGAAATGAGACAGAACAGGGAGACCAACTTGACCGACACCTTTCGAAGGGAGAGCTCCGCATTAGGCGGCCAGGAGGATAACAGCTACAAAACGCAGGAAATGTCCCATGTAGTCAAGTAACGAGGTCTAGGGGGGCGCGACAGGCATGAGCCCCTAAGTAAGCGGCATACTAATGGATGTTGGCCTGCTGGGCAGCCGTCAAATCCTTGGTGAGCCGAGGAGATGGCCGATCTGTAAGAATTAATCGTGCGATATGCCCGACCAGCTTCAAACAACAAAGTCAGGAATAGGAGGATCGCAGTCATAGGTGATGAAATGGGATCCAAGTTCCGAGCCAGGCACCAACCAGTCCAAGCTCTCCAAGCGGTTCCATGCGCTCGTCTAGTCCCGGGAGCCCATGCGTCAGCCAGGAGGCATTGAGTTGCGTCCAAAACCCCTTGGATTTCCCAGGGACTCCCTAAATCCTCCACGCAAGCAGCAGTAATGACCCGTCCGCTAGGAGGGGATGCTGGAGGCCCGATGGGTCCAGGAGGAGGTTCGGTAGAGACGGCAGCAGTCTCGGCACGTCTACCGCCAGTTCCAGGAGTTGTTGGAACCAGGATTGGGTCCCCCAGAATGGGGTTAGTAGGATAAGGTCGGCCATTTGGCGGCGAATTTAAAGCAGGACCCGAGGGATCATGGCAAACGGGGGGAAGGCGTAGAGGAGTAAGCCGGTCATATCTTGTAGGAAGGCGTCCACTGCCTCCGCGGTTGGATCCGGGCGCCAGCTGTAGAACCGGGGCAATTGGGTATTGAGCCTGGACACGAAGAGGTCGATGGCAAAAGGACCCCATATAGATGATATAGCGGAGAATACTCCCACATCCAATTTCTAATCGCTGTTGTCCGACAGATAGCGTGAACTCCAGTCCACGTGAGTGTTGTGGAGCCCTGGAAGGTATTCTGCTTGGACCACCAGGTTCCTGTCCAAGCAATAGGCCCAGAAGTCCTTCACCAAGTGGGCCAGGATTGCAGATTGAGTGCCACCCATGTGGTTGACATAGCAGACTGCTGAGATGTTGTCCATGCGCAGGCGGATGCATGAGCTGGCAGTCCCGTTTGTAAAACGCCGGATCACGAATAAACCCACGAGGAGTTCCAGAGCATTGATGTGGAGGTGGGATCATCTGCAGACCAGCGACCCCCGGTAGTCACCCTGTTGCAATGGGCACCCCAGCCATGGAGACTGGCGTTTGAGTCCACCATGAACTCTGGTTGGGAGCCGAAAATGGCCTTGCCATTCCAAGACGAGAGGGTTGTGGATCCACCAGGTCAATTCGTCCCAAGTCTCCGAGTCCAGGGAGATCATGTCCGCATAGGACGCCACGCCGCGAAGGTGTGCGATCTTCAGTCACTGGAGGGCACGGTAGTGGAGTGCGGCTGGGAACACCAATTAGATTGATGCTGCCAGAAGGCCGATGATACATGCCAGGTGGCATAGAGATAGCTGGGTGCGCTTTAGAGCGCGGTGCAGTTCCTTGCAGATTGTCCATATCTTGGACGTAGGGAAGCTCAGTGACTCCACTTCGGAATCTACCGTGAAGCCTAGGAACTCCATTCGTTGCGAAGGAGATAGGCATTATTTTTCCCAGTTGAGGAGAAAACCCAGGTGGGAGAGGAGGTCCATCATCCATTGAAGATGTTTCTGAAGGACTGAACGATCCTGTGCCATGATGAGGATGTCATCTAAGTAGACGATTAGCTGGACTCCCCGAATGCGCAGCCAAGCCATGGCGGGGTGCATCAGTTTCGTGAAGCACCAAGGGGCTGACGACAGTCCGAAGGGGAGGCAAGTGTAGCGCCAGGTGTCTCCTTTCCAGAGGAAACGTAGCGGGTCCCTGGATGACTCAGCCACTGGGACCGTCAGGTAGGCATCCTTCAAATCCAACTTTGCCATCCAGTCTCCCCGAAGGAGTAAGTCTCGCAGGAGGTGGATGCCCTCCATTTTGAAGTGACGATAGCGCACCAGGGTGTTTAGGGCTGTTAACTGGGCGCATTTGTCCTGCCTTTCTTTTCCACTAGGAAAATGTTGCTGATCACCCCTGTGGAGGACACCGGGGCTAGCTCTATCACCCCTTTTGCTTGGAGGGCCATTAGTTTTGCGTCTATTAAGGCGCGGTCGGTTGTTGAAAACAAAATAGGGCGAGGTGTGGGAACGTGACACGGAGTGTCGACCAGCTCGATGTGAAACCCCCGAACTGTGGTCAGAACCCAGACATCTGAGGTGATGGTTGACCAGGTGTGGAAAAAATGAGTGGTTATGAGTCTGCCCCCTACACACATATTGGAAGAA